TTTAAAACAATTTTTGCTTCTGTACAGACAAGAAGCGAAAACTGCGTAAAAAATTCTTTTAATTTTATATTATTGTTTTTATACGTGGTAGAGCCACGCTGCAGCTATATTATGGTTGTAGCACCAATGGGTCGGCACCACCGGGGAAGGAATACGCTCACACAATACCAGCATAAAATAGCAGCTTAGTGCTGCTGTGTTTTGGTGAGTGTATAGAACCGGAGATAATTTTTAATGGAAACGAGGCATTTCCATTAAAAATGTCTCTCAGAATATTCAGGAACACAGATTACCCCCTAATCTGTGTGCAGGAATGACACGACTTAATCCTGCTTATTCTCTTTCATAATTAGACTACAAGAGGTACGTCAAGTTTCAAATATTTCTGTCTGGATATACTTACCCAGCATTTCAACGAAACCATTCTGCGTTCTTTGCAAAAAATATAATTATGTAACAGAAACGGTAAGGAGGATGACTACGCCTTTAATTAGACAATAATATATCTAATAATAATTCGCTTGTTATATTTTTAGGTGGCTTAGAAGTGTATGTTAACTATCGGATAGTAAAAGCGCGGTCATCAATAACATACGATTACAATACTCGTAATTAGTACCAGGCACGAATAAATTATATGAAAGCAAAACTTGCTGATGCCAAAAGCATGATCATTCCTCCATCCAGCGGAGGACTGCCGTGCACTGCGGTAATAAAGATTTTCCTTAAGGCTTTATGAACTTCACGTTTTCCATATTCATCTTAAGACTCACCTATTGTGAGATACCGATTTCATTAAGCACTGGCACTATACTAAGGTCATCCAAAGAATTTGTCAGAATAAATATTTCGTCGGCCAGTCGAAGAGTAGTGTATTTCCCATTGACTTTGAATCCGCATTTTTCCCGACCAATAGCTTGAAAACTTTGTTAAACATCATCTTTCATGTCTTGCAACGCTACCTATCCATAGCGTTAGGTGCCGTCCATTAATCACGTCAGGCTCGAAAGGGGGAGGGAGTTTGACAAAAATGAAACAACACACAAGGCGGGAGGGGGTGTAGTAAGATTATCACATGTATTTATTTTTTTGTCAAACGCGCGATTTCTAAACCGAAAAGCGGCGTGTAATGTGACCTTAACTCGCCTCTACATGTAAATTTACGTCGCAAGCATGAACCTAATCAGAGCAATAATAGTCTAGAGATGCAATGTTCGTCCTTCACGCATCCTCACGCGACGATCGTTAGGGATCGCGACCTCATAGCGAGATTCTCTGTGTAGTGCGCGAAAATGATGACGCCGAGTGGCTTGATGAAACCGACGCTGATCTTCAACAAAGCACAGTGCCAACAACTGACTCGCAAGATGCTTATCCAGTAGTTAGTGTTAAACTCAGATGAAGTAAAAAAGGGTGTTAAAGAAAGTCTTGCTAATACGTGGTTCGAGGACAATGTACACTAAATATGTTCATGTACTAGTACAATATATGTTTTTCGCAAGATTACGCAATTCCTTTAATATTATTTTTATGCCAATCAAAAGCAACCTGTAACATTTCTGTCTAGACATTTTTATCATGGTCCTTAATTTCAGACGTGATTTTGGGTGGGGTGGTTAGTCTTAAACCTCACCACGTATCACCAAGAGGGAGTGGGGGGTAGGGTTAAAAATGTTTAAAAAAACATCACGTGACTAATGGACGGCCTATCTGGTAATGTACTCGGACGCACATTTTAGCTTCACTCTACTAACACTTCAGCAATTCGACAAACTAATAGCCTAGGGTTGCCAACCGTCCTGTTTTCCCAGGACATGTCCTAGTTTTTGTAGTGTCCTGAATAGTTTTTAAGCAGCGTCCAAGGTTTTAAAAGCGGCTTAATAAGGTCATGTATTTTAAAATTCACGCGCCACTTTTACAATTCTTACGTTACGGGCGACTTCACTATCTATAATATAGATATAAAGTGTAAACAATTTATGATTATTTGTTAACTCAACTATAGATACTGAATACTGATACTATACTATATAGTATCTAATAAATTATAATATTACAAATTTATTTATTTTTACTATACTTTTCAATCCCACCAATTTCCTTCTAATCTAAGTTTAAAGAATGTGTTACAAACTAAAGTGTTTGTTTTATATTTTAATAACTCGTTTTCAACTCGTATAATTTTATTCAAATATTTTTATAAAAAATATAAGATTATTATCGTTACTTGAATTTCATTTAACCTATTTTCACTACATATTTATTTAGCTATTGCTACTCTTTTAAGTCAAATAGACAGCGGACCGACTGCGTGGCGAAGCGTATTTATTTTGTTATGTATGGTATCGTTTTAATCTAGTCACATATAAAAGGTGGAAACGTTCCCATACTTGCACACATAGTACATACATTCGCTGCGTTTTCGGTTCAGTTCGGTTTTTTTTTATAGTATATGGGTGATAAACGAGCACACCACAGTCCACCTGATGGTAAGTGGATGCTGTGGCCCAAAGACATCTACGTTTTTAACCTCGCTTAAGAATTAAAATGCAGATGCGTTGTCACCCAAGGGTGGCAACGCATCTGCATTTTGGACTAATATGAGATGCCTCGATTCCAGTAAAACGGGTCCCCCGTTCTCTACACTCACCGTACGAAACACAGCAGCATTAAGCTGCTATTTTACGCTGTTATTCTGTGAGACCGTGGTCCTTCCCTGGTTGAGCCGACCCATTGATGCTGTATAAAGTCAAAAGTTGTATAAAGTTAAAAGTTTTGACAAAGCCTTTACTGCGTCCTATTTTTAAGCAGAATAGTCCTGGTTTTTCCAACTCCAAACCCTAGTATTTTTAAATTTGGAGTTGGCAACCCTACAATAACCAATCCGACAACAGTAGTCTTCTAGACACTGAAAGCGACTTAGTAATTCGAATTGACGGACGAGACGTAGCGTGTCTTTACGAGACGTAACAACTTCAACATAGCATTAACGTTCACTGTGCTCTGAACAATGATCCTTCACCTTGAAATTCACAATGACCTTGATCGCTACCTATTGTCATGCTAGCAATCTCACAGACATTACTGAACAGTTGTTGTTTCGTAATGAAACAACAGTTTGTAAATCCAGATTTTTAATAATTATAGATTTAAGGGGGAAAATAACCTCAAATGGCTTAGCAATATCCTCCGTTATACCGAAAATATTGCAGCATTAATTTTGATAATTCAATAAATATATGGTAAAGTTGAGGATTAATGTTAAGTACTATGTTAGACGAAAACATGATTCCGTAAAATTTTCTCGATAGACAAAAACTCCAAAGTTACCTCCAAACTGAACAATAAACCGCTGTTATTCATAAAATACTTTAAATAAGATCATGAAACTTTGCATACTAACTGAACTATAAAGCAGGGCTTATGTTTTTTATTTTTTTTTTTTTTAATTACCATTATTTGTTTACCACTGTAAAAAGAAATTACCTAAACTATCGGCGTCCTGAAGCTTGTTTCTTGCCGCCCGGTTCCAATGAATGAAATTAAATTAGAATGAAATCTATATTTATTAAACATCTAGATTTACAAATGTATATTTAAATTTAATCTATATTATGATGAACCATCAAGGCTTAAACTACTCTAGCCCACTTTCTGTGGGCCACTTGTTTCAGAAAAAGTTTAATCTCCTCTTTCTCATGAAGTTAACCAGCAGGTGACCACTTAATTTTCGTTACCCTATTCCGGATTTTCCAACAATCAGCTAACCATTTTTCTTGTCCCTAGCTTATACTAAAGTCTTCCTTCAATATTATGTCGTGAATTTTGGAGAATTATTGGCTCCAATAATGTCCCCATTCATCGCCTCCTCCTCGTCGAGATGGGCTTCGTCTACTTCATTAACTTGTATGACCTTCACCAAATATCTTTATGTATTCCTAGTATAAAGTTTCACTTTTGTAAACGAAAGTCCTATAAACGAAAATCTAATACAACATATTGCTGAAATTGCTGAGATGACTTTGTCCGGCATTTTTCTTTTAAATAAGATGAAAGAACGGTCCTTACGCAACTTGTCTATTTTCTTTTTTCTTCCAACTCCAAAATTAGAAGGCAGGTTGTCGTATGTCGTATCCAAACCTCTGATGGAAATTCTTAGAATCAGTTACCATGGGCGCCACCGAAGGCAAGCGAGAATGGCGGGAATGCCAGTAACCGGGGACAGTTTATATTTATCACCTTGCTCATCGGAACAATTTTTAGCATAGACTGCTATGCTCGGCGAGCTGGGTTCGCCATACTGGACAAGTAGTTAAGATGTTTACCCCATACTAAACTTACATTACTGGACGCACTAGGATATCTCCTACGCAATTGGTAGCTTCCAATTATTTAGTTTGTTGTAAAATGAGGTTAAAGAAAGTAAAAACATAAAATTCGATTTTGCATTAAAAATTTAAGACTTAGACTTATACTTTACTTTTCTTGTTTAAAATTGTATACCACAAAGGTTTTAATTATAACATTTTTTTGAATTTTTATTGTTTGAAAAACCATTTATTTTATAAGTGTTTCGATTTTACAAAAAGTCCTGCACATTGCTCGTATAAAATACAGCCTAGCCTAGATCACTCTTAGCGTTGCTTTCTATGTATTCATGAAGTTTCATCGGACAGACAGACAATTTTTTTTAATTAAATTTACTTTGATATTACAGATAAACACTTCAATTTTATTTATATCTGTGTTTGGGATTATAATGGAGCAGTACCCCTCGTCTTTCAACATTATAGATATTGTTTCAGCTTTCAGTTTTTATTTTTTAATATATGAGTAATAAATCCACGTGTATATGATAAAAAAGAATAGTTGAAATATGCACATGCCATAAAAAAGTAAAAATACTTTTTTTATCATTAAGTTAAACTTAATACAGATAGAAAAATTTAATGAATGATTGATTTTGATTGAATGAATTAAAAAAAAAACTTAAAACAAACCTTGCGTGAAAGTCATTATAATGTATTATATCCAATTCATACAATCCTTCGAAAGGTAATGCAAAACCGTGCACTAAACTCACTGTCGCTATCGTCACAATAAGCCGGATTATTATCGTATTTGACATTTTACATCTAGTAGTTAGTAGAGCGCGACCTTCATAGCTCGTGTTCAGCGAATGACTGATTTTTCTTGTATATAAAATGTAATTTGTGGAGTGTGGATGTGGAATGACTAGTGGCATGGGTTGACGGCGAATTACATTACTTTACTAATACTTATAAGTAACGTATGAAGGTATGAATGAGTAAGGGCCCAGCGCAGCAACGTAAATGTTAACGAAACGTTAGAATGGTCAAGATTATTGATAGAATCAGGTGCTACTTTGCGGAAATCCATTATAATAAAGATATTAATAGTTACTTTGCAACCATCCGCTGTATTAAATACAATGATGTGTCTTACCTAGGTTGAAGTCTTCAATATCTTTATTTTATGGTCAAGATTGTTTGCTTTCAATCTTCTGATAAATGACCTTATGAGGAATAGCGAAAATTACTCAGAAGGATTTTGTTAACAAATAGAAAATCACAAGATAAAGGATTAGTAGGCTATGCTATTAATAAAAACTATGTAAACGTAACACATAATTAAAATTTAATGATTTCTTAAATTAACACGAATACTACACATTACATGAAATTAATTTTACACAGGGGAGAACTACAGTACCCCCCCCCTGGTCGTACTAATTAGTTGTCGTGTAAATTGGTCACGGGGGGCTCGACTCAGTCCCCCCATGACTATGAGTGCTATAATGCGCCCGGAGCGTCGGAAAATATAAATGTGTAAATTAAACGCGATCATATCCGTAGATTTCTTAAATTTACGGGAATACCACATACATACACATGGATAAAAGTAATTTCAACTTTTAATGTTAACTATTAAGATATCAGGACAAACACCTTAATTCAGAGACGCATCTATACGGGTGTCCCAAAAATATCACGTCAGAGCGACATGGAAGATAGGTTAGCCTTAGGTCTTGTAGATAAAAAAATGACCTTTGTAAAAGTATTTTAGTTTTGGAGATATCGTCAATTGTTTTATTTTCTCAAAAATCTCTACTTTAAGTTAGTGTTTCTACCATTGCCGTTAGAAATACCTTGAAAGTTGTTGGTTTTTATATTTTTTTATTTTTCGAACAGTTGTTCCATACGTTGAAAGTAAATTTTTCCCAAAATCTAGTGTATTTTTTAATAAAGTAAAAATATGATTTGTGTTACTTTTTTACCTTTGAAAATATTGAACACCAACTTTGATGTTCAATATGTTCAGCAGTGGACTTGTGAAGGGCTGTGATGATGATGATGATGATGAACTTTGATGACCTACCGTGAAAAAAATGTACTGACGTAAACTGGCAAATAATTTGAAAAACTGCTCCAATTACTGCAGATTCAGAAAAGGTATAACACTTAAATCAACTATTTAAAAAAATGTCAAAATTACCATTTTTATTATTAAAGGTAGCGCTCTCAGCGGGAAGCTGTACTTTGTTATTGAATAAACGAATTATTTTTTCAAAAGCAATGAAAAGGAATGTTGTTTAGTTATTGTGTTTAGTATCCCATCAAACAGTTCTCCGGTCATAAACTGAGCGAGATAGCTGTGAATAGAGGGAGAACAGTGCTATCTCAGTCTCGCACAGGTAGCTTCGGACTTCGGTGGTTAATTTTGTTTTTAGTAAGTTATTTTCAGTTTTTTTTTGTGATACTCGTTCTGTTATGTGCTCCTTTAGTTATTTTTAATATTTTTGACTACTCGGCGTTTATTAATTGGACTTTGATTTGCTTACTACTCGGACTGTTGTTGAACTGATTGAATTTGTTGTGAAAGTATTAATAATGGAAAGTCCACGATGAGGCGCTGTTAGTCGCTTTACACATCGTGAGTACGCTGACATGTACTTGATTTACGGCGAAACCAGGCAAGTTTCTACTCGAGGCATAGTCTCATTAAACGCAAGGTTGGCTGCAAGATTGTACGCGGAACGGTATCCAGACCGTAGACATCCGACGTATGAGGCGATTGAACGATTGGATTCTGCCTATAGGGAGGGCAGAATACCTGAAACTTGAGGTTCTCAATCTGGGAGACCGCGAACAATCAAGGACGACGTCGTGCTACAGGAACGCGAAGAGGATCCCTCGACTTCGGTTCGTATGATACAAAGCCGCACTGGAATATCGAAATCATCGGTTCATCGTATTTTAAAAAAAAAGGTATCAATTTCACCCATACCACATTCAAAGAGTGCAAACTCTCCTTGAGGGTGATTATGTAAAACGAGTTCTGTTTTGCCGACGAATGCTGGAACTAAATAGGCAAGATCCCGACTTTTTTCATAAAGTTTTGTGGACTGATGAGTCTCAGTGCAGAAGGGACGGATACCTTAACCTGCACAATATTCATAGTTGGCAGTTAGGAAACCTGCATGAAACCAGAGAAGACCGTTCACAATACATGTTTAAAATCAATTTATGGACAGGAATCTTCAATGGTTCAATATTAGGACCAGTAGAGCTACCTCCTACATTAAATGGTGAAAACTATTTGGCATTTCTTCAACACCAATTGCCAACGCTCCTAGAGGATGTGCCACTACAAACACGGGCAGCGATGTGGTACCAAAACTACGGTTGCCCAGCACATTACGCTCGATACGTTCGAGCCTATCTTGACGACAGGTTCCCAAGAAGGTGGATTGGGCGATTGGGGCCAATCTTATGGCCCCCGAGATCCCCTGACTTAAATCCTTTGGATTTTTTTATTGAAGTTGTCTCAAGGATAAAGTGTATCTAAAACCAATTCACAACGAAAGGGAACTCCGTAACCGAATAAACATAGCGGCTCAAGAGATATCGCCAATAGGTTTAAAAAGATTAAAAAATAATTTTATCCGAAGATGTAGATTATGTATTCGAACTAGAGGGAAACAATTCGAACATCTGCTTTAATAAATACGTTAATTAAAAATACCATTTTTTTTTGGCAATATCTCATAACTAAGCCAATAAGTTCGGCTTTAGCGGTACCCTTAATGATAAAAATGGTAATTCCGACATTTTTTAAACAATTGATGTAAGTGTTATACCTTTTCTGAATCTGCAGTAATTGGAGCAGTTTTGCAAATTATTTGCCAGTTTACGTCAGTACATTTTTTTTTCACGGTAGGTCATCAAAGTTGGTGTTCAATTTTTTCAAAGGTAAAAAAGTAACACAAATCATTTTTTTTATTAAAAAATACATTAGATTTTGGGACAAATTTATTTTCACCGCATGGAACAACTGTTCGAATAATAAAAAAATATAAAAACCAACAACTTTCGAGGTATTACTAACAACAACGGTAGGAACACTAACTTAAAGTAGAGATTTTTGAGAAAATAAAACAATTGACGATATCTCAAAAACTAAAATACTTTTACTAAGGTAATTTTTTTATCTGCAAGACCTAAGGCTAACCTATCTTCCATGTCGCTCTGACGTGATATTTTTGGGACAACCAGTATATATGATTTTTTAAGTTGTAGCCTAGGGTTCGGTGCATATAAAGGGCCCCAGCCTCCAGTAAAGAGAAAAACAATTATGATTAAAATATGAAAATTTCATGAGTTTTAGTGAAAATGAGGATGAGATCATTTTCATTTTCATATCATTTTCAAGATCATTTTCGAAAATAGGCACGATTTTTTTTTAAAAGTGGCTAAACTTGATGCTTGGGACGAAATTTTAGAGAAGATATTTTTGAAGACAATAATTATTTCATTAAAAGAGTTCGTGAGTAACATACGACACCAATCAGATCAAAAATTTAAGATATACGAGAAGAAAGCTAAAAACTTAAATACTTGAGTGGGGGCAGAATACAGTGACATAAATAAGAGACGAATTACTTCAATTTTTTTAGTTAAAGTCAAAATAATCCAAAATTTTAAAGGGAGACATAAAACGTGGTGTTAGATAAACTGTTTTGGATTTTGGATTTAAATAGAAGATACCAAGTCGATATTATAATATTATGCCTCATAATAATATAATAAGAAATTCAATTTTTTTATAGATTTGCAAGACAACAACAATGAAAAGAGATCTGGAAAATGTAGCTACCTACGTAATAGTATTGACTATATCCAGATGACTTGAGGTAGACGAACATTCAGTGAATGAGTAAATTCGGTTAAAATCTTACTAAATTCTAGGCTAGTCTTACACATCTTGCAGTGAAATGTTTATGCCAATTAATGAATACTTGTTCACGTTTTCCCAAATTGCCTTACTATCTTATACATTTTATAACGTTGTCAATCACTAGCTGTGAAGCTGAACGTTCTTTCTCCAGGATGTCGTATATAGAAAACAAATACAACACGTAACAAAACCCTAAGGTTCACGTTAAGTGCGTTATGAGAATCAATATTCAAACTTAAAGAAATAACATTTTTTCAGAAAACTCGACCTTTAATTTTAATTTATTTTATTTAGGTAAATAAATTTTAATTTGCCAATAATTGTAAGCACATTTTTTTACTTTTTACAAGCCAGTGCTTGACCACAATCCCACTGGTGGTAAGTGGTGATGCAGCCTTAGATGGTAAAGCGCCCTGTCTTAGCGTAACAAAAACCTATTCACTCTTGCCCTGAAGACGCCCAGATTGTATTCGGACGGAAAGATAGACGCCGGCAAATGATTCCACTCATTTGCTGTACGCATTAAAAAAGTCGTAGTAAACCGTTTAGTTCTAATACGTGGGATATCGACAACAAAGAGGTGAAGACCCGCCGACCGCCTGGTCGTCCGATGGTGGAAAGGAGAGGGAGGAATTAAAGCGTGAAAATCCTGCGCACACTCTCCGAAATGCATACTAGAATGCCTATGCATAGAAGAACTAGAATGCATAATAGAATGCCGAGAGGCTGGCTACTCTGCGCCTGTGCTCGAGGCTGACAAGGTTGGTTTCAACCAAATCACCACCAGTGAGCCTCTTAGCACGTCTCTGCACTAAGTCCAACACTGTCAGGTGACATTTTGCAGCACCAGCCCATATGTGACGGCAGTAC